TATATATATATATATATATTGAAATCCGGAAGTAAATGGTCTCGAAGTTTGGTATCTTCTTGAATATAAAACGACGAAAGCGTTTCAATGGTGCGAAAAGCTATAAGAAAAGGGCTAGGGGCTCATTAACGTATCAACTTGGGAAATCGGTATTATCGTTATCATCTCCTTCGGTTCTTGCCGTAATCAGAGCAATGGCGGCAACGTCCTCGTCCTCGTCCTCATCCTCGTCCTTGTCCTCGTAGTCATAGTCGTCTCGGGATTACCAAATCCGCGCGTCATTAGCTGCAAAATTCGTATTCCCCTTGAGATAAAGAAAGAAAGATATACATATATATAGTGTATGCATATAAAGTACAAACGATGAGACTGCGAGAATCGGAATTACAAAATTTATTTTCAAGATATAAAATATATAAATATATAAGATTGCATATTTTATTAATATGTGGGATTATATGAGCCGTTTATTTTAAAAGTGGCATAAGTCGCTTTGTTTTCAATTCGAGATATTTAAAGGTTTGCGTTTTATACACGTTTCAAAATGTTGATGCTAACTTATATTTGTTATCTTAGTATAAATAATTTCGTGTAAATATTAAAAAATCAACACTTTTTATTAGGGTAGAGTGACTTAAGCCACTTTCAAAATAAATAGTTTAGAAAAATGATTGACTTATATTATATTAAGATAGTCATTCGTTCTCTGGCATACAATATATTGTATAATGCATTATATATGTAAAATTTGGTTTTGGGTAAGAGGTATTGATTAACTTACACCCAAAGTCAATTCTACTTAAAATAATATATTCGATATTAAATATATATATAGGGTAGCCTTATAATTATGCTTCACAAAGGTCTTTAAGTCACGTGATACACTCCCTCTATCAACCGATTGTACAACTAATAACCGACACACTCACTCTCTATCAACTTTTATAACAACTCTCCGTAATAATAATAATAATAATAATGTTGTTGAGAGTTTCAAATCATAACGAGTGAATATTTAACGAAGTTTAGATGTTTTGTGTTTGGAATATTAACAAAAAGAAAAATGTATGTCTACACAATAAAAAAAGATGCTGAACTGTAAGATTAAGTTGCTGAAGAAGTCCCAATAAAGGGACGAAACGTCCAACTTAGTTAAATTAAATTCTACTTCTTTTTATGTCCAAGTTCCCTGTGATACCATATTAAGAATTATAATTTTGGACGAGAGAAATAACTAATTAAATAATAATAATAATTTATTCCCCCCCAATATATACAATAGTCCCCACCATGCACCTATTTGCTTTCTCGCGTCTTCTAGAACATTCGATTATTTCCCATTCCTACATATATATATATATATATATATATATTCTTTTTTTTATTTGTATATATAAAAGAAATATTCTTAGGAAAAGTTTTAACGAGCCGCGTTAAGGATATCCATTTTGTATAAAAATGGTTGTCGTTTCTGTTTCGTGGAGGGGTAGGTGGTAGCAACACCATCGTTCTTTCTCGCCATTAAATCCACACAGGATGTCCGCTCGAAGTTCTCGTCCCGTCAGGATGGGATAATCAAAGCGGTTGGGTCATCGGGAAATCCCTGGAGAAAGGAAGAAAAAGGGGAAGGGAAATAAAGAGAGAAAGAGAGAAAGAGAGAGAGAGAGAGAGAGAGAGAGAGAGAGAGAGAGAGAATATCGCACGGTCGTGTAAATAGAAAAGGATGATGGGAGGGTGTCGTTGTCGAGGGTGCTGGTGGTGTCCATGAAAAAGCAGCTTTTATTCTCTCTCTCTCTCTCTCTCTTCCTGAACACGCTTGGTTTTTTTTGAGAGAGAAGCGACATAAAAAAATAAAGAGGATAGAAGAGAGAGAGTGAGAGAGAGAGAGAAAGAGAAAAAAAATCAGACAAGAAGGAAAGAAATAGGATATGGCGAATGAGAGAAGAAACACGTGTATAGGGCGCATATGGGGGACTGGTGGAGGAAAACAGTAACCTTGACCCTCTCCTACGTTGTTGCCTGCGACCCGCTTTTCTCTATCCTACCCATGGAAAAGTGGGTTCGTATATTATTCCGAAAGAGATGCGAGAGAGAAAAGGGAGCTTATGGTGGTAGCATTTATAAACCTGCCTTCAGGATTCTACTTCATTCCAATAGGAGAGAAATGATTAACTAATTGATTAACTAACTGGGTCTTATAAGATAATGAGAAAAGATAATATTTTAATTATATAAGGAAGATAATATCGGTCAGCTGATTTGGTTTTTTTCTTTTTGTTGAAATTGTTAAGTTACGTGTTCTGGTATTTCCAAAATCAATGAACTAGAATTACTTCTAATTTTTCTTTGCAATAAATGCACCTATGTGCAGTATGAAGTTAGAAGAATTTTGATCATAAATGATCTGGCAAAAGTTTTCCATAGAATGAATGAACGAACGAACGCGTCGGAGCATGACAAAGATGGTGGTATCTCTCTCTCTCTCTCTCTCTTTTTCTGTAAAATCTTTCCATCGATGGGAGAGAAAGAAAATGATGAAAAATAAGGTCGACCTTGTTCTCCTCCTCGTAGATTATAACTCCCTTCCTTCCTTCCTACCTACCTACCTACCTACCTACTTCTTTTCACTTAGTCGATGGAAAGAGCTATTAGTACGAAATTAAAAATCTCTCACTTTTGCAATTATTATAAGAGTGAATGAGAGAGAAAGAGAGAGAGAGAGAGAGAGAGAGAGAAAGAAAAGGTATTCTCGTTTCCACACCCCTCCTTCTATTATTCTGGAATTTCTATCTTATTTGAAATGTATCCACGTACTATATATACCACCCTCGCCATTTTATTCTCATCTTCGCTTGTCTCATTTTAACTAAAATATTTCCTTTTTCTTTTGCTTACAGAAACTAAACTAACAGTAAGAAGAAAAAAAGAAAAAAAAGGGACAAAGAAGATAAAGAAACGACTCGGGAAGGACCTGACATGGGGACTAGAAGATTAACAGCAGTCACAGGGGGGCAGAATCGGTCAAGCCATGACACCATATTTAAAAAATCAAAGAATCCAAACGGGGGATCGGTCGCCTCTTTTCTTACAAACAAAAATTTTCCTTTCACATTTTTCTTTTTAACAAAAAAGAATCATCGTTCCTTACGAAAAACAATAATAGAATGATATACTATAATGATTTCTAATATCAATTACATCATTTCTTCTTCTTCTTCTTCTTCTTCTTCTCTTTTACACTTAACTTACACTTTAGAAAAGGTGTAAACTTTGTTAACAACGAGGACACGCGGATTCGTTGTTCGTCTCGTAAATCGTAAGGCTATCTAGCTGTGCAGTAATTCCTAAGAAAAAAAGAAAAAAAAAAAGAAAGGGAGATAGAATAGTAGAGGGGATGGTAAGGGAGGTAGTAATAGTAATAGTAATAGTAATAGTAGTAGTAGTAAGAGTTTTACCGAGACAAACGTGTACGCGAGAAATTCTTAAGGACGGTTCCACACTTTACGGGCGTGTTCGTCCCACTCTATCCTCCGGTAATGGAGAATTCCCGTCCTTCTCCTCCCCCCCCCCTCTCACCCCCTCACACCCCTATCACCCTTCTCTCTTCCTCTCTTCGTTGAAGGAATTAATTTGGTGCTAACGCCAGGACCACCACCACCAACCCCCCTTGCCCCTTTTGCCTCCTGATATCGGCCTTCTCTCTTTTCCCCCCTCCCCTTCCCCCTTCCCCCTCTTCCACCCCATCTTTTTCTTTCTTTCTCTTTCGCTCATTTCATAGTCGAGGCGTTGGTAACAACTCCGACGAGCTTTTCGTTTGACTTTTTACCTCGGTGTGAGATGTTTTAGCTTCTACGCAGAGAGTTCTTCTTCTACTTCTTCTACTTCTTCTTCTACTTCTGACTTTACGAAATTGTCTTATACATTTTTCTCCCATCCTCTCTTTTCTTTCTTTCTCTTTCTCTCTCTCTCTCTCTTTCTATCCATCTATTTCCACCCTTCCTTCTTTTCTTCCTTCCTTCGCTAAGGGAAACCTCTTTACTCTTGGAGAATAAAGATTGCCAAGTTTCTTCTTCGTCATATTTTAAGTTTGTGGAAAAAGGATCGATGAGAGAGAGAGAGAGAGAGAGAGAGAGAGAGAGAGAGAGAGAGAATCTTCCAAACCTTTCCAAATCTTTCCTTTCCTACCTGCCTTGCTTACTTTCTTTTCTTTTCTTTATTTTCTTACATTTGAGAGAAATAAATTTGATTTTTGTTATACGTATCGTGTATATAATAATATTAGACTGAATCAAAATTTCTTAAATATTTTTTTCAATTAACCTTTTAGATACGGCTGAATTCTGCGTGTGGCTATTTCCCTGGACGGCAGGGTCTGACGTGAACAACGTATAATTGATATAACACTGCAAAGTGTGGCGGGCAATTCCGTTCTGTCCACGAGAACATTCAAATGAAGTATTTGATGATGAAGTCATAATTTTTTAAAAATATATATTACACATACTTTAACTATAACATTCCACTTTAATAATTAATAATATAATTGAGTATGATAGATTTTGAAACATGGTACAATACATAAAACTACGTCACAATTTTCACATTGATAACGAGATCTTCGCCTTGTATCGTTTTTGGAACACACTATACAATTTCGTAACGTTTTTCTAGAAAACCACGAAAAGCCACTATAGTGGCGCGTCGTCCTGAAAAATGATATCCGCGAAAGCCACTATAGTGGCGCGTAGTATCTAAAAGGTTAATATTTCATCATTTGCATATGATAAAGTATTTTTGTTGGCTACAAACAAAAATTCCTGCACTATTTCTAAAAACAACATAACGCAAAACAATAAACTAAAGACAACGCAATAAACGTGAAAACTTTTAAAGAATTTATTTAAGTTTTCGATTATAGTTAAATTAAATTCGAACGATAATTAAAATATTAGCAGGATATTTTTGTATAATAAAGCTAAATAATTTATAGATTGTGTCTAGTTAAACCGAAGAGCCAGCATATTTTACAATACACACAGTTTCCTCTACAATAGTTACGAGTGAAGAAGAAGAAGAAGTGTGGAAGGACGAAAGAAAGGACCGGCAGGGTTGGGACGGGTCGCGGGGGTCAGGTAGGTTAGGGTAGCAGTATGGAAAAGTAAGGGTAAGAATAAAATGTAAGGAAGAGGGGGGGGGGGGAAGAGGAGAGAAGAGAAGAACGACGAAGGGTCTAGTCCGTGAAATTCCTCTGCCGTTAAAGTCCTGCACACTCTTCTTCTTCTCCCTTTTCTTTATATTCGTGTCCCGTTTCTCCTTTCCTTACCCCTCCCCCTCCCCCCTCATTCTATACACATTTCTTTTCTTACTTGTTCTTCCTACAGGAGATGAACCAGAAAGCAAAGTTAAGGGGGGGGAGGGGGTATATATAAGGGAAGTATAAACTCGTACGAAAAAGATGAAAAGAGAAAAGAAGAGGAGTAGAGGGGCTTTGCTGAAGGGGGGGGAGGAGGAGGAGGAGGAGGAGGGCTGAAGAGGAGAGAATAAAAAAAAAAAGACCGTTAGGAAGAAAAAAAAAGCATAATGCATAAAGAAGGAAGAAGGGACACGTAAGAGAATTCAAAGATGGCGCGTAGATGGCATGCAAGTCGTGCGTGGTGGTGCTGCTGCTCTTGGTGATGGTGGTGGTGGTGGTGGTGGTAGTGGTGATGATGATGATGGTGGGGTTACAAACTAACACCCCCACCATGTAGCACACGGCGCAGAAAATTCTCGTTGAAGCTGAGCAAACGCGAATGAAGAATCAGTCGCGCGCCGAACATCGTACGTATAGCAATTTTATGATTTCTTTTTGTTCTTGTTTTTTTATTTCTTTTCAAAACTAATTGTGATTTTTTTTGTTTTAATCTACTTTCTATCTGATCTTATATGTGGCATCTTTCTTTTTTATCTCTTTCTCTTATTATCTTATTTAAGTGATCCTTTCGATATAAATAATGCATGTCCGGGATCGTCACGATATAATAATTCCGTTCTCTTTTTATGTGCGTTGTGTGTTGTTGTTGTTCCTCTTGTGCGATCGAGCGCGTAAATGAGAGAAAGAAATTTCTTTTCTAAATAAGAATATTTTAGATTTTTTTCCTTTACCCTATATAAATCTTTTCCATTTTTCATTTTTTCTTTTCAATTCTTTTTATTACATCAGGAAATAAAAGATATACATTATTTTCGTGCTTACGTAATATCGCGATCAAATAGTTTAGTTTTAACATTGAATGTAATTTATTTATATATACTTGTTTTAATAGATTTATCGATTATAGTCGATTTTCTTTTTATTCGATAAGTGTAATAATAATTCATTTAATAAGAGAATATCGAAATAAATATCTTTGTTATTTTTCGCGAGTTGTTATTTTATTGTGTATCTCATATCGGTTGTGTAATCATTTCAATGAGTAAAGATAAGAAGAGGTTTCTAGCTTAATATATATAAATTGCGTACGTTGTGTTAACTTTGTTTAAGGAAAAAAATAAAATAAAATAAAATAAAATAAAAGGAATTAGAATGAGGAAAATAGATGTTCGTCATTGGTGTATATTGTCGTCGCGTATTTTCGGCGAGGAAGATCGATAGATGCTGCCCGGCTTCTCTTTCTATCTCTTTCTTTCTCTTATTTTCTTCATTTCTGTTTCTCTTACTTTTTATCTCTATCTTTCTTTGCTTTCGTATTCGCGCGCGCACACCATGTGACTGAAAAGTTTGGTTCGTAGGAAAATAAGAAAATGTTCTCTATCTCTCTCTCTCTTTCTTTCTTTCTCTTCAATTTCCATTGTTTCTCTTTCTTCTTCTCTACTTCTCTTTCAAGAATAATTTTCTTCTTTGAAACACTTTGGAAATTTGGATTTAATCGCGATTCAGAGATAATAATTTAACATAATTATTTTTTTCTGCTATTGAACGTTTCTCTTTTTTTCTTCGTCATCGTTATCATCATTGTTAGATTTTTTCTTACAAATGTGTGTCGAGTAGTAGTAGGTATATTTTATTTTCTACTAATTTCTAAATGTGCAGTAGAATTTTCTTTTTCTTTTTAAACAAGATTGAACATTTTTCATAATTAGTGTTGATTTTTTTGACTGTGTTAAAATTGATTAAACAAACACATACAACGTATGTGTATATACTTTAAAGGATTGAAAAAGTGGAGAAAAAGAAACAAAAGAAGAAGACCAATTTGGAAAGGTGAGGATATTGAAAATGAAATGAAATTAAAGTCACTTTTTTTATCCATACAACAAATTAACATAACATTTTATTGTTAATTAATTCGATGCTTTTTTTAAACAAATTTAAAGTCTACTTTTGTTTGTAACTTCTCGTAACATATTTTTCATAGATCTTTAATCTATGAATTAAATTCAATGTTAAAGCACCAAAAGCACGTCTTCTAATTCCTCTTCTTCCTCATCGACGTTTGTTTCGGCTCGAATGTAAAAATAAAAGGAAGAGAGAACGAACGCGTCTCAAGGCCAACACGCCTCGCGTATTTGCTTCCTTCATCTCTCTCTCTCTCTCTCTCTCTCTCTTTCTTTCTTTCTTACTCTCTTGTTCTTGTTCTATTCAATATCACTATGTTCTCTTTTTATCCGGTCTCGTGCAACCATTCTCAGTGTTAGAGTACCACTCGAGCATTATATACGGAATTGATACGAATAATTTTCATATACATATATATATGATATCTAATTTCTTATATTTTTTATTATAACATATATATATATATGTGTGTTTAAAAAAATTTCATATGGTGTACGTACATACATATACATGCATATACTTACATATACTTACATATATTTAACCTTGATTTTTTTATAATAAATATATATTTGTTTTCCTTATAAAGTATTAATCTATTACATGCACACATATGGTTTCTCTAATCAGATAAAAACGGAATTTGTAATCTTACACGTGGTTATTGTTCCTCCATATTTTATTCTTTTTTTTTTAAGATTGTACGCACCCTTCCTCTCTTATTTTCTCTATTTTTTTCCTGTTTCAAGTTTTTGTCTTCTTTGTATTTTAATTTCCTTTCTTTTTTTTGTCACACTTCCAACATTAAAAACCGAAGGCTATAATAAACCGATGTCGAAATGAGATGATAAAACTTGGCCTAGTTTTCGAAAGACGAGAATACAAGAGAGAAGATTATTTTATTCTTCAAGGATAAAAATCAACTCTTACGTTTAAATATCCTAAAACAAATAAAATAAGTTGCATTTTAGTTTGCTATCGATAATAATAATAACAATAAAAAGAAAAAGAAGTTGATAGTTGTTGGTAGTCTTCTTCTTGTATGTACCTTTTTCAGAACTCTGTTTCTCGAGACGAGAAGAAGAATTTCACGGTGAAAATCATGAAGCAGGACGCGAATGGTGTACTGTTGAAAGAAGATGAAGACGAAGGTGAAGGAGAAGGAGAAGGAGAGGGAGGGGTGGTTTGAAACGCGGCTTTTCTCGAACGGTGGGTATAAATATAGTTTGGTCGATGATGGTGGTGGTGGTGGTGGTGGTTCGTCGTCTCCCTCGCCTAACATTTCCTCGATGTATTGCCACGGAAATTGGCTCTCTCTGTGGAAGAAGTAAAATAGAAAGAGAAAAACAAAATGAACGTGCAAGAAAGGAAGAAAGAGAGAGAGAGAGAAGATAAGGAAGGTTCGTATATATGTGTGTGTGTGTGTGTGTGATACACACGATCCACCGCAAAACTCGTTCTTTTGAATTAGGAAAACACGTGTGATTGTTTCTCTCTTTTACGGAAATTGAGAAAAACAGTTTACGTGTAATATGTGTGTGTGTGTGTGTGTATTTGAGAGAGAGAGATGGTAAAAGATGGAAAGGGCAGGGGTTGAGGAACATGTGAGTTATTCGTGCATGAATCTCTATCTTTTTCTTTCGGTACCTTTTTTCAATGGTTTTACCTTTCCATTGCAAAGCAAAAGAATGTGCAGCAGCAGCAGCAGTAGCATGGTGTGTTGTTAAAGGAAAAAGGGTAGAAGGATACAAAACGGTGAGATGGTGGTTGCAGTAGTATTAGTGGTGGTAGTTGCTGGTGGTGGGCAACTTCTTGGCGGTTCCGAGAAGGAGATAAGCCGGTTACCAACCCCCGACGAAACGTTTACTTCGGAAACATCGTTAGGAAGACGCGACGAACCCACGTTCCTTTATATACTTTCGATGAGACTACACTTTTTTCTTATTCTTCTTATTCTTCCTTTTTTACTTTCATTTATTTATTCGTCCCCTTTTTTCTTTTTTTTTTTTTATTTATCGGAGAACGCTTTTCATCATTCTTTTCGATTTTATTTACTCCAATACTTGCATTTACCTTTTGTGTCATACAAATAAATATGGATATCCAATGAATTTATTCTAACGAAATTAAACTCTATTAACTATCTGTATTATACATTTATCGATAAATAGATAATCGTTTCTAGTGTAAAAATCCTAATTGTTATTTATATCGATAACTTGATTTTTTTTGGTTCTTTTCTCGTTCTCGTCACTCAAATTCGATATGACGAAAAATATATTGTTATACGTTTGACGATTTCGCGTATGTATATGAGTAGTAGTATATGTGTGTGTCTATCGATAGATACGAGCTATTTCTCTTTGGTTTGATTGGTCTACAATGAATTTTCTCTACCTAGTAACATCTCTACCATCAACCATCCCTCGTATCTCGTAAAAAGCGATGTTCTCTTGTCCAAAAAACCGTAAGAGAGAAATAGAAAGAGAATGATGATACTACTACTACCCCACTACTACCACCACCACTATCGTTATACTCTTTGAGCTGTTTGAATGAGCACTGGACTGTTTCGAATAACCATTTGTACCGATATCGTATCGTTCAACGCTACCTACAGTTGTAATATTCTCTTTGAAATCGCTTTTCCTGATCTTTTGCTATAGGTGATTTGCTTTCTCTAAACTCCCACCCTTCTCTCTAGCTTTATCTCATCCAAATGGTTTTCTCTCTTTCTCTGTAAACATAATAAATTCACAATGTCTCGTTAAAGAGATGATATATATTTATACAATTCGTTATTTCTCTCGTCCAAAATTATAATTCTTAATACGGAATCACAGGGAACTTGGACATAAAAAGAAGTAGAACTTAATTTAACTAAGTTGGACGTTTCGTCCCTTTATTGGGACTTCTTCAGCAATTGGAAATTTTATTTTATTATATTATAACATATATGAGGCTCATACAATAATTTTTTACTTTTAAAATATTTTTATACTTTTAATTGAATAAATTATCTTTTTCTCTTTCTCCATTTTGTGTTCTTCTATAATGTTTCTTAGATTTGTATTTAAACGATCTGAAAAAGAAATGAAGTTTCAACGATTAAATATTATCGGTATAATGTGTTTTAATTAATTCATAAAATCACGTAAAAATTTCTTTAGGTTATTCTTATTTAATATAAAAACAAAAATTGATCAAAGTTGATTTTCCACGAGTACTGAGATTCGCCATTTTTGATGATTTTGTGGTCATACAAGTAAGGTCAATCAATTTCTGAAAAGATATATATGTTATACACATACGTGTCATTGTTTTACTACTCATGACTCCTATTTAATATAAAAACAAAAATTGATCAAAGTTGATTTTCCACGAATACTGAGATTCGCCATTTTGGATGATTTTGTGGTCATACAAATAAGGTCAATCAATTTCTGAGAAGATATATATATATATGTTATACACATACGTGTCATCGTTTTACTACTCGTGACTCATTATAGATTTTCGACAGAGATGTTCTCTGAGAGAGAGAGCGAATGACGTCACGCGAAATTTCGAATCGCGTTTATCGGAAAGCCAGCAACAGTTCGCCACCACCACCAGAGTAGTGTCCTTTCCGATAAGATACAAGCTGAATAATACCGTTGTACCGATCTCTTCGTTTTAGATGATATATATCCCGCACAGACAATGATAGGTCTATGATGATGGTGGTAGTGGTGGGTGGTGGTCGTGGTGGTGGTGGTGGTCGTGGTGGTGGTCGTGGTTGTGGTATACGTATTTGTTACCGCTGTTCTATTGTTGTATCGATGTTGGGGGTGTGTGTATACGTGTGTCTAGGTAACAATAAATTTTCTCGAGATTTGTATAGGCATTTTTCTCACACATTTCATAAATTCGTGTTTGCTATGTGTGAGTGTATTTCTAGGGATGTATAATTTTCGAGCACCTGCACCACTCTGACGTTGTTCTATTTTTGTACGGCTGACCCATTGCGACCTAACTATATAACATCTTTCTCAAAAGAAATACGATTGAATAAAAAAAATATATATATATTTTTAACAATGTTACTGGTTTGAAAAAAATATTACGAATAAAGAAGAAAGGTAAAGTAAAATTATTAAGATGATGGTAAATACATTGTTTGGTTACAATACGTGTTAGAATTTGTACATTTATCTGTAGTAGAAATGCGTGTGCGAGAGTCCACGCTTAGGTTTTTTTTTACTTGCCTCTTATTTACTGTTATCGAATATGCGTCTTATCTGTATATAGGAAAGACATTGACAATATTTACAAAGTAGCCGATAGTACGGTAAACCACGTCTCTCTTTCTTCAGTTGGTTCCTTGTACTCGGAATATGAGTCATGTATTTAGTGCATGCGTGTACGTGGCGTGCGTGGAGGTAAAGGAAGAAGAAGAAAGAAGGTCACTTTGTTCCTTTTGGAATTGTCATTCGAATGTACATAACAAAATCCTTGATAAGATATCTTTCTCATTCAAAGTAAACTATATATAGATACACGTATATATATATATATATATTAAAATCGTACTCAACTTTCAAAAAGAACAAAATTAATCAAATCTACCGCACACTTACACGCACACAGAAAAGAAAAAAAGTATTCCACGATAAGATAACTTCCTCCATCCCTCCTACCACTTCTTTAAAATATATATATTATACTAGCATATAATATGTAGAAAGAAATGAAAACTATATTTTAAATAATTTTATTATACGATTTGATATTTGGTTTTGCTTTTCTTTTGTTTGTACAGGCTCGCAACCACAAATGATGATGATGATGATGATTCGTCGTCGTCGTCAACGAGAGAATAAACTTCGGGTTATTTCCGGTTCTCTGAGTGTTCACGTTCTTTCGGAAATTAAAACGCGTGCCCAAAGCCCCTTATCATTCTCCTGTCCGGTGTACAATCGTCAAACGACTGGACGGAGAACTGATAAGGGCCCGAGGGTCACAGAATCATCATATGAAGAGAAAGAAATTCCATAGATCTTTAAAATGGCGTCGTACGAGTTCCCGGAAGAAATATACGAAGAAGGGTCAAACTCTAGTATCGGTTAAGGAAAAAAAAAAGAAAAGAAATAATCTACATGTAATAGTAATATATTATATATTTTTTATATTAATAGTCCCAATAAGAGGAAGAAGGATCATCGATAAACTATGGCAGAAAAATTTACTTTGTTCATTATGTACAAAATGTTCATAGGCAATTAAATTTGAAATTAAATTATCATATAAGTCAAATTAAATATAATTGTATATAAAACTATAAACATTGTATATATAAGTAATATAGGTAACATCTAATAATAGTAGGGGATAATCTATTTAAATAATTAAATTATTATTATATATAAATAAAACAAATTCTTTTAACACATTATTGTGTGTGTGTGCGTGTGGGGGGGACCGTTTACGAATATACTCTTGTTTTCATATATATGCAAAATTTTATTTTATTATAATTATTTCTTTTTCTTTTTTAATTTTATTAAGAATTGTTGCGCATATACATAATGAGCTATCATTTGCTAGAAAAATATAACGATATATTGTCTGCAACGTGATGTTTTTAATTTTTTTCACGTACCAACATAATAAAATATATTAAATATACTATGAACATGCAGTTTCTCTTTCTTCTTTCTCTCCTTGCATATTAATTTCGTATTCTTTTCTTATCAATCTCTTGTTTGATAATTCAGTTAATTATAGGAAGAATAAAGTTTCTCTTCTCTTTGTTTAACGCTTATACATGATTTTCTTTCTCTTTAAAGTAAAACTTTGAAATACACTTAACTGAACTTATACTTATTAACAAGCGATTTACTAAGTTTCTGAATGATGAATGTTCTACGTTTATTAGTATCATTTAGTTGGCCAATGAGTAATGTTGAAATGTTTGATAATTTATATGTAAGATTTTGTTTATAGTTAACACTTATTGTTAGTATTTATAATCGAACATTGTTAACCCTTGGCTCTCCGCATGTTTTTTTTGTTCCACTGCCTACCAGCAACTCCGGCACATTTTCGCAGCGAAACGAATGAAACGAAGGATTCTTATTTTAAGTGAGAAAAATTACACGTGCTTGTAAATGTTTGACATTTTATTTATTATATACATTTGCAAGTCTCTTCTTGTCAATGAGAAATAAATTTTAAATTTTATAATTCACCATGGTGTGATACCTTTCGAAACAATCTCCCATGTGCATTCTCGGTTTACTTGGGCAAGTGTCAGAATATTCACTCCTATCACTCAAATCTATATTCTCATCACAATAATTATTTTTCTCCATACTGCTAACAGCAAAATGGGTAAAAAAATTATTCAATCGTAACAGTAAAGAGACTGAGCACGTTTTAACAACAGATAACAATTGCCATCGCCAACAATTGCGTAACATCTTAAGTGTATTCATTATAAAAACATTTCCGCAGCGGAACCTGCGGAGTTACGGAACAAATGACCGACGGCTCCGTAGCGGAGCCAACGGAGCGCCAAGGGTTAATATTTTATATTTAAATAAAAATATATATATCTAAAATAATAAATAAACATGTACAAAAATACTTATATATATTATATATATATATGTATTATTCTCTAATGTATTAATACTTATATATATATATATATATAATATGTCTTTATCTTCTCATGTCTGCCTCAAGAATTGTTAAGCTTTTCGTTAAAGAAAAATTAGTATTACACGTTGTAAGATTATATAAACTAACAGTTAAGAGGCATACACTACTGCTAAATTATATCAAAATGATGCATTAATAAAAATATTTACAAAAATAATTTAGGCACAGTTGACATACTAATAATTAATAAAATCTCGATAATAGTTAATAACAATTAATATATATATATGTCTCTTTGCACTCTCCCTTTTATGGGTTTTGAATCACCTTTCTACGAATACCTCATATCTATCCAATATCACCAAAGAGAGGTCCTGTCTTTTTACCACCCCTCTGGAGTTAACAACACACGGTTTTTATTTTTTTCGAACGAGTAACCCTTCCATTTAACTAACCGTGCCCACGTTTCTTAACTTTAATAATCTGACGGGAACTAATAAACAAACGTGGCCAAGCCGCGTTGACTTATACAATAATTTAATTAATTGTTTTTACGTGGTCGTACTTTTCGACCAGATCTGTCTAATTTCGTAATTAGGATTAAGTCGTATAATTTTTCTTTTCGGTGATCCCTCGTCCGATCTCATAGTCGGATTTTGAACGATCATTATTTGTGGTTGTTTGACATCATTGTCTTTCTCTGCCATGAAATGAGTTACCTCAATTAATTCTATACCAGGTATATTTTTTACTATAGTCCCATTCGAAATAATGGGAGTCATAGTTACAGGTCGTTGTTCAACTACTTTTGGTAAAATTATTGGATTTTTTATACAATTGGAGGCTAATTTTTTATTTGCTATATCCGGAAGTACGGTTGGCAAAGTTTTTATTGAAAGAGTATTAGTTGATCCCGTTGTATCGATCGAATCATTATTCACAGATATTATTTTGGTTCCTAATACCACGCCATTGCCTAAATGAATAAATAAAATAAATTAAACATTTAAACATTTAATTATTAAACATAGAAATTAATAATTTCGTTTATCATCATACCTTTTTGCATCTCTTTCGTTACTGGGCAATCTTTGTGCGCGAGTAATAAAGTTTTCAATTTTGTCAACTCGTTACGCAACGCTTTAACTTCCGATTCTAAAATTGAATTAGTTTCATTAACCTTGGTCATAGTTTTTTGTAAATGCTGAACCCAAGCTTTACGTTTCTCCCTAGCACGCATCGAACTTGCGCGATTACGTTCAAGAAGATCTTTTTTTCTATGTTGGTCAATGTTTTGCTTGGAATTTTCTTCTTTACAAGGTTGACTGATATTATCTCGTACAGCCGTAATTTTTTCGGGAGATTTTTCATTTTTAGTGTTTACTTTCTTCGTTAGAATTTGCTGTAGTTTCTATAATTAAGTAAAAAATATATACCTTCGTTTACTTAATTATTAATAATTTATATATATATATATATATATATATATATACATTATATATTTTTTTTGCGTAAATAAATTATATATTACCATTTTCGCAAAAGTCATTTTGGATGGTAGAACTTTCTTAGATTCCGAAATTGGAATATTGATTCGTGGAAGTTCTGATCGCATCAGAACGTTTTGTTGTTTTGTGTGTTCGATTGTAGAAACATGAGAAGAAGGAGATGTGTTAGACGATTGAGAAGATTCGTATATTGGATTGGCAGAAAGTTGCATTAATTTACCATCCGCTGTTTTCAAGAGTAATTCAACTTCTTCTCCGTTTATTGATCTATATGAAATGTTATTCGATTATTAGAGTTGATTTTACACAGTTATCGTATAGAATCATAATAAATTTTTTAATAATACGGGTCGTTCCTTACAATTTTGAAGAAGATTGTTGCATTTCTCTTTTAGGAGTAACAGACACATTTAAATGTTGCAGTACGATACTCTCTGCGTGTAGAGCTGTAGTTTTGGAAGATGCAAGCATATTCTCCTTTATAAAATGAGATTCGTTTAATTGTAGACTTAAATCGGAATAAGTTTGAGTTCCCACTGTTGATTTTTCTTTGGACATCGTAGGCTTCCCTATTACTGTTATAGGAGTAGAACATTCTTGGTTAGTTTCAGAAAGAATATGAGTACCATCGGACAATACATCTGCGATATGTGGAAATATGTGAGGTGTATGTAACGTGTCATCAGTAGTTTCCACCTAAAAGTTACTTTCATTAAGTTAAGAATATGTCTAAAAAAAATAAGTCTATGAATGTTTTTACCTCTCCTGGTACTGTAAGCGTTCCAGTATTCCTTGCTTCGACTGCTCTTCGAAAAGTCTCTTCGAAAGGATTAACATTTTGTAAATCTTGAAATAATCCAACTTCTTCGCAGTTACGAATGAATCTAGTTGGTGTCGGTGTTTGATCAACTGCATATATGTATATAATAAAACATTAATGCTAATTTATAATATTATTTGTCGACATATGTATACCTGATAATATTATTTTATGTATTTCTCCTATAATATTCAAACTTTACCTACAAATCCTGAATTTTTGTCATTGTTTTCTAGATTTAATACCATGTCGTGCTTCTTTCTATGAATTGCTAAATGATCTTCATCAGAGAAACTCTAAAAATGAAAATATGTAATATGTAAAAAAATAGGAAAATTGAACTGATATTATTTTTAGCATTTACATAAGAATTGTTTATGCAACTTCTCTTATTGAACTTACCATATTGCAACCTGGTGACGTACAAATAAAATGTTTCTCAACATCGCTCATAATTACTATAATGACTTTTTTTATTTTTATCTTAAACAGATTTAAACTGTAAGAGTTAATAAAACAACGATTTAACATTCACAAGTGATACAACGATACATCGATAACAAATAAATAATGATATCATTGAAGATACACCGATTATTGTTTTATTTAAAATCGTATACATTTTAATTGAAACTCGAATAATACGAAAGTAGTAAGGATACAATCAAATATTCGATAATAAAAACTTGGATTTAAAATATTCATCACTGATCTTTTTTGACAGAACACTGCAAAGGTTATGATCATTTTTAAATACGCTATAACAAACATTATCGTACTGCCATCTAGTGTCTATAAAAAATATTAATTCTTTTCAGTCGGTAAAGAAGAGAACTTAAACATTTATCTTAGGAGTAAAATCCATCTTTAAAGTTGCACTATCGATCGCTAGAGTGCGTTACCTATCAAGATCGATAAAAACATTGGCGCGATCTACATTACCGACTTTTATGAAAAAAAAGGTTTGTCTATGACAAAAATATTAAATCCAGTTAGTCGATAAATATTATAGAGAGTAAGAGAAGATATATATATATATATATATATATATATATATATATAATGCTTAATAAAAGATTATCTTTTTAATGTATCGTTAAATATACTATAATTTCCATTGGACAATTTGACCTATCTTTCGAACGAAGTGAAACCGCATGTTGAAGAAAACAGATTGTTTTCTTCGAACGATTCTGACTTTCTATGAAAGTAAGTTTCGGGATTTGCGGGCTCGCGGTCAGTGTATCAAATAGACACGATCGTATTACAAGGTACAGTAGAAACTAAAAATAAAATAAACAAAATAAAAAAAAAAACGACAGAAGAAAAAAGATCTTGCTACTATATATAAATATTTATTAGGTCAATAATTGGATAATAAATATTCTAAGTAATATAATGAATATTTTGCTTAAAAAAAAAATAACTGACCTAATAAATGTATGGAAAGAAAAATTTAAAATGATCATCACGCGTGAAAACATTTAGAAATATCCAGATTATTGCTGGATATTTAATAAAAAAAAAAAAAAAGTAAAGTATAATTTGAACGATAAACGACTCAGATATATATACGTATAAATAGAAATGTAACGAAATAAGAGAAAATAAATGTTCTGTAGAGTCCTGTTTTGGTCCATCGATAGAGAGTGAGGAGCTGGAGAAGGGTCCATGGAAGCTACATGGAGACACATAAACTACAAACACACTCACATATACACATAGACAGATAGAGAACGAAGAGAGTGGTGTCTCGGATGCTGATGTGTTTCTGTTCCTCATCAGTAGTCACTCGCGTTCCGCGGTGGTCTATTCACAAATTCCTTCGTTCATTTGTTGAGAGAACATTTTTATCCCTTCCCTCCCCCCACCATCACTTAAGAAAAAAGAAAATCAAATTAATCCTTAATTCGATCGTAATAATTACTCATTTTTTTTTTCCTAATATAATTTATTGTCACAGTGATCTCGAATTCTTATTTCATTTTACTTAATTTTTGAATATCACACACGTACACGCACACATACACGTGTAATATAAGCAAGTATACTAAAGTACATATCGTAAGTAAGAAAAAGAAAAGTGTTCGGTGTGAAAACTTAACGAGAAAGTGTGCGAGAGAGAGAGAGAGAGAGATTAGAAGATAAAAAAAACGATGATTCGTCTATCATCTTTTGTTTTTTGCGTACGATTGTGAAAAGAGAGAAGGATCACTAAAACGCTTGAGTTTGGCCGTGATCTTGTTAGTTGGTATTTCTTTCGATATTCAGTTCCCGTGTCGGCGACCTTGATCTCGTTAGAAATCCAGGTGAGACATTACGAGAAGGCTCTAAGGTTTTATAGGATTATTATACTTCGTGTTTTTGTACTTTGCGTGCGGCCTTATGGACATTTATTTCCTTTAAATTAATAACAATCTAGTGGTTTTTTATTTCGGTATTTATTTAAAATATATGTGCATAACTTCAAGGGGGATAGTTTTAGAGTACGCTAATGAATATCTATAATTAAATAATTAATTTTTCTTGAATGTGCGACTAGAAGAATGTATTAGCATACATTGTTTAAAAATCCAAATGTTGTTGAGAAAATGCACGTGTATATTAGTGTAAAATATTTTTGTTTCTTACGAAGAGAATATGAAGATTGTTTCGATAATCAGGTTTATCGATTATTATCAATAATTTGTGATTTTAATCAAAGAATACCTAATTATAAAAATTGTACGAGTTTGTGTTTAAGGTATATACTTAATTTTTCCAATGTCGAACAACATAGAATTGGAAAACGTCATACTTCCGTGAGCAAATTATAATTTATTATAAGAGAATAGTTAGGTTTAAGAGGTAATCAAAAAAGGAAAAGATGAAAATTATCGGTAATTCTAGGTGTGCGGTTTTTGTTACAGTTCAATAAAACAGGTCGATCGATATTAATCGCGATATCGTTGCGTACGGTACAATTAGATTAGTGATGGGGTCGAACAACGCTCGATATATTATTATTTTCTAATCAATTTTTCTCTTAATTACTTCCAACAAATATTCATTAATTTATATTATATGAAAAAAATATTACATATTCCTTAAACACAAACACTTTCTTTCCAATCCATACCAAACCGTGATTATTATGCTCGAATAAAAAAAGTTTCTTTCGTAATTTTTTTCCTGATAAATATAATAACTTTAGAAAGAAAGAAAAGAATAAAATAAAACTTGTTGCACTTTTCCATTAAAATGGGAAGAAACTTTTTTATTCGACTACTTTAAAAAAAAAAAGATAAAAGGAAAAAGGAATGTTAGCGCGCGTATTAGATTAAATTCATTAGACAAGTTTGGAAACTCTAAGATTGGAGAAAGCCTTTTCCTTCCTCTTTCGTTAGTTCTAATAAATAAACAATCAGAGACACTTCGAATTTACATTGGACGAATTGCAGAGAGAAAGAGATAGATAGATAGAAGGTGGAGGATGAAAGGGTGGGGGGGAGGGGGTGGAATCATTACAAACGAATGGCTTCGTTGTCAAAGTCGAAAGTTACCGGTTAACTTTCACTAATAACTAAAGGTACATGAGACGAGGAAGGTCTGGATGGAGGGGGGGTTGAATTGAGAAGGGAGAAGACGATTTGAACGTTACGAAGCATTAAAAGGCGTGCCACTTGTTTCGGTGGCCTGGTTTCATGTCCCACTTTTGAATGGGACTGTACCTGAACGGCTTCGCCACGGTTCGTGAACTCGGCCGGTTTTAACGAGGAAGTACATATGTATAATAATATATACTTAAATTTACATTTTATTTTATAATATATATATTTTTGGTGTTAGGATTATAAATAAATTCTTCCTATTTCTTTTTCTAATAGATAATAAATCGATATAATAAATGAAGAACTTTCTTAATCGCAGTGTTGTTTTCAAACTCGACAGAAAATCATTAGGAAGTATAGTGCGATAGTTATCTTCAGTTTAAAGAAGAAACGTGTAAAGGTGTAAATCGGTAATAATTGAGAATCGTGTTTGAAGAATAAATAAAACGAACGAAAAGTAACATGTTCGAGAGGACGTAAGTGAAAAAATAAAACACGTTGAATGAGAGTGAATTGGGAAATCTTCATCGGTTGTTGGAGGAAAGAAATGGTTGCGTCCACATCGTCCTTCTTCATCCTTTTCGTCCTGATTGGTTTCAGTTTTGCTAATTATAGAAAAAACGATCGATATCTCGACAAATTTGGTAAGAAACATTCATCAAAATTTATATTTAAAATATAAAGTATACGTGGACGGATTGAAAAGTACTGAAAAAAGCAGAACTAATTTTTTGAATTACTTGAAAATATTTGAATAATATACATATATTAATTAATTAATNTAAAAAAAAATATATATATATATATATATATATATATATAGTCACACACATATTTATAATAAATTAATTAGGTATTTCTATTAATCAGATTTTCCGGATAACGAAGAAACTTCGAACAATGTTAATCATCTTGACAACAACAGAAAAACGAGATTCTTCGATGAACTTGGTTGTAAGTTAATCATATTAATCTTTTTTCTTAACACCTTCTTTCTTTTTCTTTTATAATATCCTCGTATCAGATGGAAGAATTACGTGATTCGATCAATCATAGCTCGAATACCTACTACCTTACCTCAGTAGTATTTGATTGGCGTGAATTTTAAAATGTGTTTCACCGAAAGAGAAAGGCTACTCTATACTACTCGTAACTCTCTTCGAATGACAATGAATCTTCTCTTTTACTTTCGGATATGAGCCAACTATTTTCGTCAAAGGAAGAAAAGTAACAAAAAATTAAATAGAAAAAGAAATCTAACATGTCCGTGAACGAGAAGAATTTATGTAAATCTCTTTAAAAATAATATGAAAGAGGTAAGATATATATAACAGGGTGTCTTAATGTTGGAACCAAACGTTATATAACTACGTTACTGACAATGAGGATTAAATGAATGAACAAGTTCACATAAATTTATGCCTGAAAATGATTTTCTTGGAAACATAATCAATTCATATATGTATTATATAATTCTCAATGAATTCAAACATATAGTTTACTACCGGTCACTTGACTACTAATAAATAATATGGGTGTACACACCTCTGGATTTCCCTAATATAAACCTTTCATTCATGCACATTTTACTAATCTACCCACGTGGGTATATAAATGATTTTTCCTCCCTCTCTGATCTGCAGCTATAATGAATTATTAATTTGCTGAAGACACAATCTGCTTAAGTATAATTTACTCGTAGTTACTTTTTCCATCCCCCATCTATCTCCTGTTTCCCCAGGTTCATTTAAGAAAGTCTTTAAAACTTTATTTCATTTCGTGGAACTATGAATGAATAGATATTGAACAATTAATAATTTTCTTATTCCCTTTGATGATTAATGAGTTTCTCATAATTATTTACCTATGAAATTATTTTTATGATATATTGTACGAGCTGAAATCGGATGTACTGCAAGACCGATTCAACCCTCGGCAGATGCAGAGCAAGCTCTACGTATCCACCATGTTACAAAAATCGAGCTAATATACTGGCAGTTCTATGAACTGCGTATCAGATATTAAGCTGATAAGAACAGATACTACACTTTGATCTTAGCTCAATGAGCCGAGAAGCGATATCGAAATGCATAAAATTCGATTTCATAAACTTTTTCATGTAGGAAAATGATTGGGAGAATAATGCGACACACTGCGGTTGTTAGGAAGACTACTATTGTTTGCGGGAACGGGATACTACCCTTCTATGCTAAACAGGGTGTCCAAAAAGGTTAGGATCAAACTCTAAATAGTTCATATAAACTGTCCGAAAATACTTTATTGAAAATATATATGTTTTTAAAAATATATTTATATTTTATTATGCTAGTTAAAAGATACGTATGTATGAAAATCATTGAAAACTATTATTAAAATTATCGTCATCGTGTCAGAAGTATCGCAAAAATAAATGATTTAAAATATAAAGCGACAATATATGTTTATAGAAATCGAACCACGATTGAGAGAAAAAAAAAAACGTTGAAATTTCGCGGTTCACAGTCGAGTTAACGAGGGACAACGAAATTGGAATCGTACTTGAAAGGCCACTTACCGAACGTTTACTTTCTACGAGAACTTATTTCAGGTATATTATAAATGATTTTGTTTTTTAATAAAACACGTACACAATAACCTAATCGATACGATCAAAAAAGTTAAACTCTAAAACTAATAATTATAAAATACTTGAAAAAGTATTATTATTAAAATCAATCATGAGAAACAAGTAATAAAAAAGAAAGGAACAGGTTGTTAAGAATGAAAGAAGCTAGTATTTAAGTAATATACTTAGGAGTCTCCTCATGAAAAAAAAAATAAGAGTGGGGAGCCAATGCAAGACGAAGAGGTGACATCGGTTTGTCTTTGAGAAAGCCGATGTTGGTGAAAGCAGAGAGCAAGAGAGCACCAACAGCAGTAACAATAGCAGCAATGCCAGTCGTAGTAGCTTCCTTGGTGTTCAATCGAAACTCGAGACAGGAACGAGCCGTCAGTCCACGTGGAATATTCCCATAAGTGTTAAAATTAAAAACCTTTAACGTAGGATTATTTGGTGCTATTTAGTGATTAAATTACTTTCTACTTTATATTTTGAAGAAAAATAAAATCAAAGAAAAAGAAACAAAAAGACAATTTACTTTGAGAAAGTTCTTCTTCTTCTTCTTCTTCTTCGAGAGAGAGAGTTTTGATTAAAATTCGTCATGCATAAACCAATGAAAAAATATTTAGATATTATCTTACAGATAGAAGAATCGATCTGTTAATTTATCTATGATAAGAAAATCTATGATGAAGTCGAGTAACGAATATTTTTACATGAGATGAAGTTTAAAGAAGGATCATCGAAGTGAGGAATTATTGTCGATTCGTGTTCTTCACTTTCATTATTTCCTTCTATCTTTTTGTTTCTTCTTTTTTTGATCATGAAGATCGTTGGATCGATCCTTTTAATTATCGTAACAGTCAATGCGATCGAACAGGTTCGTTATGACCTGCAGAACAAATTTTACAAACGTCCCAGTTCGTCCACGACTTGGAAACGGAGTCAATTGGATGTTAGATTAGACGATAGACGAATTGGTACAACTCAAAGATCGATCATTTATCGACAAGATAAACGAAATAGACCATCGTCGATTATTTTCTTAGAAGACGACGTGAAAAGTGAATTGTTAGAAAATGGTAATAATCAAATGAAAAGAGAAAATTTCGAAGAAAGTGAAAGTAATAGTTTTATCGGGGATTCGTCTCAGAATATAAGAAAGTTTGTACGCGAACATCGTGCTATCGAGAGTACTTTGAAAAATGTTGTACCATTGCCAATATCGGAGAAAAATAATTATCAATACGTTTCTAACTTTCCTTATTCGTCACGTCGACCTGTTAATGATGAAAATCAAGAAGAAAATCAAGAAGAAAATGATGATGACGATGATGAAGAAGAAGAAGAAAATAACGAAGATCATGATAATAATTATTCGTTGACTATCAATAACGAGGAAAGAAATAATCGAAATCCACTTGATAATTGGAATGTTAATAAATTTTTAAATTCTTACGAGGAACCTAACGTTGAAGAATTTTTAGAAGAAATTAAACGTAGAAGGAATAACGGTGATTTGGATAAGCTTTTTGGAAGTAATTACAGACAAGGTAGAAGAAGGAAGTTGACCAGTCAACAACAAGGTGTCCTGTTGGTGGAAACACTAAGAAAGAAAAGAAATCAGAGCGACACTGATGATTATCGGGGACACTCTTCTTCGGATTTACAAAGTGGAATTATGGACATGTTAGGCAGAAGTATGTTTTTTATAAAACAAAAAGAGAACAATTATAATAATTATTCTTTATTACATTTTTATCTTTGAAAATTAGAATTCATTTTAATATAACTCAATTGTTTTTCCAGACATTATTTCAAAAACTAAATCATATTTATTAAAATATCATTTGGGTTACTTCTGACATATAATTTTCTGTTCGAACGAAAAGTTAACAGGAAACGGATTCGAATTTCTATTCATAAAGATTTCGTAATTAGGAGAGAGGATAATTAGGCACACCTTTAAGTAAACAATTGAATAAATCGATATATTATTATTATTATTATTACTTAAGCTTTTGAACTTTCGCGTTTGGTTACCGTTTGTCGAGAGTTCTAAATTTTCACTTACGAAATTGTGCTTCGAAACGAAAGCGTCTAGTGACTAGCATTTAACGAGTGAAACAGAGCAGAGGGAAATGGGATCTCTCAAAATGATGAACGAGATGATGAACGAAATGATGAACGAGATAATAACGTGACCATCTTTGTGTGAACAAGGAATACGAGAATTATTTTTTATTTTTTTTCAAAATATATATATTATTTCGATTTAAACAATATATTAAAAAGAAGAACATTTTCTTATGGTCATTGGTGAAATTATTTTTGGTTGATATTGCAAATAATAATATCAAATAAAAGTGTTTCTTACTATAGTATTATAATACTATATACTGCTATAAATTATTAATTTATTTTGTATTATTTGTTCACAGTGATACCACAAACGTGCAAATACAAGGGGACCAAATTTGAATGCGGATTGAGTATAAGTTGTGTCCTGGCAGGCGGTAGACCAGTCGATTTGTGTTCAGGTGGATTAATTTGGAGTTGTTGCGTGGACGACGATGATATTCCAGAGAAAATACCAAAACCAAGTGTTGGATTACTTCAAAATGCCAGTGAGTTGACAAAAATTTAGAATTATTTTTTATTAAATAAAAGAGAGTATTTTGAATAAACTTGATCGCATTAATAATGAAGTCATTAGCGACCACTTTCAATAAATAAAATCATACAGCTATTGACAATATGATTATCCAATGAGGATAGTCAGGCACGTGTGTCGTTAAGAAAACTTCCATTAAGAAATAAAACAAGCCAGGTAGCCTGATTTCTAGAAGTAGTCACATCCGAAATTGCACAATCGAATGTAGAGAGCAAACGGCCAGGTGAGACGTACCTGGCGACACTTTCAAAGACGGTCATTCACGGTTAGTTTCAGACGGAGGAGCTTTTTTTTCTGTCTACCATAAAACTTTGTGCGTGAATTTAATCGGAGAGCTCGCACCATGAAGTTATTTACTTCCTTGTGTTCCTTTGGTGTTTATTTTATTTCTTTATTCCAGATTCAAATTTAACGTTACTCTATTTTTATAATTAGATAATTCATTTCTTTAATAATAATTTTTTTTTCCATTGCTATTTACTGGGTCAGTATTTATAATGAGCTCTTTTCCTGTCTACCATAAAACTTTGTGTGTGAATTTAATCGGAGAGTTCGCACTATGTTTATTTGAAAAAATATTAAAAAAAAAAAAAAAAAAAATAAAGAAAAAATGAGTTAACTATTATTAAAGAAACATCGTTTATCGACAAATTAAAGAAAAATTCAATATTGGAATTAATAATCGAAAGAGAAACGTCATGGTCGAATGTGTTTGAACATAGCATTTTCGATAAATCTGGCGCATCAGCAACCCTACGTAGAAGACAACGTGCATATTTATGGTAACAATTTGAGACCAAGCAAGCCCACGTACATGGAAGATGTTCATAGACCAAGTTATTCCTACATCGTGAACAATCCAAGCAAACCGAGTTGGCAACATCAACAACAACAACAACAACAACAGCAGCACGATCACGATCGTCCCTCTTACGTGACACGTCCCACAGTTTATCGACCACCTACAGTTCAATTTGATTATCCTCAGGACGAGTACGATTCGTCTTACCCTCAGTCCAACACTGGAATCCATGTGCCTGTCGATGATGTCTCAAACTCATTGGATTATTCACAATATCGTGGTAATCGAGAATCCGTATAACAAACAAATTGCAAGTGCACCCAATGCACAAACTATACCTCCTACTACCAAATATTCAAATATATATATATGTATAAGATTTTATTTCTTATTTTTCTTATTCTGACATCAAAGACTGAGACCTATGAGACATATGAACAAAGACAATAATAAAAGAAAATGGACAAAAGAGACGATATGAACATAATGATCACGCTCGAGCACTAGTACTTTTTTTCTTTTCTTCGCAATTTTTCATAAAAAGTTTCCAATGCACGAAAATGCACTATTAAAGAAACCAATGACAAATACGATATATTATATAAATATGGGACGATTCTTTGCACGCTCTATTTAGCACATTATGCTGCAACTGCACGAAATATTTTTCCGATCGAATGGAATGAGAAAAGTTCAAGAGAAACGTTTCTAATATTTACGGAAACACACTGATGGATCGTTTTAATTTGTCAAGCCTTTTTTGATTTTTTAAATAAAATATTATCATATTGAATCAGTTAATTGTTTATTTTTGTATTTGTTTTTTTAGGTTGTGGAGAACTTTACACGAGAAGTAATAGGATCGTTGGTGGACATAGTTCAAGTTTTGGAAGTCATCCATGGCAGGTTAGAAGAAAATAATTGAAAAATGTATTTTTTGCATAGATCCAAAATTTGTTTCTACTATTATTTAATTAATTTTTCTAGGCTGCCATTATAAAGTCGGGATTCCTTACGAAGAAATTATCCTGCGGCGGTGCCCTATTGAACAACAGATGGGTCGTAACTGCAGCACACTGTGTTGCAACGTAAATATCTATTTACTATAATTTGTTCTCTAATACAGTATAACGTATACGCACTATAATGTCTTTCTTCATTCAGGACACCGAACAACAATTTGAAAGTTCGACTAGGTGAGTGGGACGTGAGAGACGGCTCGGAACGTTTGCTTCATGAAGAATTTAACATTGAAAGGAAGGAAGTATGTTAGAATATTTTTTATCGATACTGATACCAATATTAATTATTGGATTGCAACTAAGTGATTGCCAACCAAAAAATCCGCAATCATTTAGTTGTCAACCCAATGCATACGCATATATACATATATATATAATATCATATAACAGGTTCATCCCCAATATTCACCTACGGACTTTCGAAACGATGTTGCTTTAGTGAAATTATCAAGGACTGTAGTGTTTAAGCAGCACATCGTACCAGTTTGCCTCCCGGCTAGAAATCTCAAGTTATCAGGTCGGACAGCAACCGTTGCTGGATGGGGAAGAACCAGACATGGTCAGAGCTCAGCACCTTCCGTTTTACAGGAGGTCGACGTAGAGGTAAATTCAAATGACAGAAAGATTGGATCATTATTAATATGTTGACTGCCGTGAAGATCACCGGTGACCTCCACAAATAATGCACTAAACACAATTATACAACTCCCTTTATCTGGTGTAAACAAAATTTCAACAAAATATGCATTCTACAATAAAAAATTAATGTAGCCGCAAAAATTCACAGGCGAATCACATGATATGGTAATCAACGTATTAATAGTATTATTGAATTGAATTATTTTTTTTTCTTAGGTTATACCTAACGAAAGATGTCAAAGGTGGTTCAGAGCAGCTGGTAGACGTGAAACCATACACGATGTTTTTCTATGTGCCGGTTACAAAGAAGGTGGTCGAGATTCGTGTCAAGTGAGAAATTATTTTGTTAATTACAATATCTGAATTATTTTGTTAATAAAACTTTATTTATATAATTTGTTTCCGTTTCAACAGGGAGATTCAGGTGGACCATTAACCATGTCCGTTGAAGGCAGACACGTGTTGATTGGTTTAGTGTCATGGGGTATTGGCTGTGGCCGCGAACACTTGCCTGGTGTATATACCAATATTCAGAAATTCGTGCCGTGGATAGACAAAGTTATGAGTTGAAAGATCTCACAGAAAAAAAAACATTCTACCGTTCCTTTAAAAAAAAGACGAAAGGGAAGGAAAAGAGAGAGTGTAAACGAAATACTCGAAAGAAAGATCGTGTAGTACGTAAACGTATGTAAAGTTACCAAAGCTACTACCATAAACTTTCAAAAAGAACATACGAATGATGACGTCGAGAAAATCACGACTTTCTTCTGCGTGCGTGCATGTATGCGTGTGTGCGTGAAACTATTCATTTATTTTGAGTAAAAATATGTTTACCTGCGGACGTAAGAATATTTGATGCAAATTATTTACTAAGATGCATTTTTCATCTCGAAATAAATTAAATTAATCTAATCTTTTATATATTGTTACGGATAGAGTCCAAAAGCGATAGATATCAAATATAGATAAGGTAGGTTCCTTGAATATAAAATTGCTTATTTATCAAGACAGGGAATTCAGAAGTACATAGAAGCTCTCAAAGTACCCTTTTTTATCTAGACAGATTCATCTTAGTTACTTCTAGGACCACTAGTGAGCGATAGTAGGTACTTAACGCGATGACGGAAAAACTATTAATGAA